TGAAAAATAGAAATTGGAGAAGCAACCAAGGAGGGTCAGCATTGGAATTACAAGAATTTCAGAAATAAGAGGCAGAGAAAATGGGGGAAGAAACCAACCACGACCACGTTCTTTTAAATCCCAGAACGAATGATTATAAATTGCCAAACTGAAAGAGTTTGGCCCGTACCCCAGCACAGTGAGTGAAATTAGACCCACAAGGTACATCCTTGTGACATTTCACACCACCGGGGACAAACATGATCCAATAAGCTTGCACGAAGAAGTAGGTCACCTACAAAGGATAGAAATCAGCATGCTTTCGACTTCACCACCACAGTAGTACTGGGAAAGGAGAAGCCGGCGAAGCAATGCCTTTGAGAGTCTGGAAGAAATTAAGTCCAGCCCACATTCTATACCCAGTCAAACTAACTGGTGTGAGGCAGAGTAAAAAGGGGTTTTGTTATGCAAAGTCTCAAAAAAAGTATCTCGCACACACTTTTACTCCACGCAAACGAGGAGTAAACCAACAAAGAGGAAGACACAAGAGACATTCCAGGTGTCAGAATTCCTGGGAGAGGCGGAAGGCATTGGTGTGAGGAAAGAGAAGGGAGAACCTGGGCCATCAGCTGTGCTCCAGGGCCGAGCTGCGCAGAGGCTGCCGTGGACACTGCTTCCCGAAGTGAACCCCTGATACAAATAAATGGGTTGACAGTGGATTGAGACAACGGAGATAGAGTGAGGGATAAATACGTAGAAAAATGACAGGGAAAGCAGAAACACGCAGTGTTACTAGTTATGTATTGCCGTGTAACAAATTACCCCACAACATGGTGTCTCAAAACAACAGTACCAGTTTCTGCAGGTCAGGAATTTGGGAGTGGCTTAGCTGGGGGGCTTGGCTCCGAACGCTGCAGTCTGCTGAAGGTTTGGCTGAGGTGGAAAAATCTGCCACCACATGTAGGAAAGAAAAGAAATCACATGATTCTCCTAATAGTTTACTTAGTATTGATCTTACCAAATCACATAACTGTATCGAAAAGATGTGCCTTTGTGTCATGGGGGTGGAGGCCTGGAAAGGGTTGGCTGGTTTCTTAAATCTTCCCCTTCCAAAACAAAAAGGAGCTAGTGCCTAAAACCTAACAAGAGATAGCAATAGAAGCATTTTTATTTAGAGATGCAAAGGTAGATGCCAATAAAACCAGCGCTGTCAAAAGCGCTTGTCTTGGGCAAGTGAGATGTGGGTGGGGGAGGGAGGGCAGAACCTAATGTCTCATTTAACAAACCTTGTCTTATTAAACTCTGCCCACGTAGAACTCGGATGAAAGCAAACTCAGGTTAATAGAAGGAAACCAATAAAATAAATTTAGGTGAATTTTTATATGTCGGGGTGGAGAGGGCAGTTCTTTCTCAGTGAGACACCAAATGAAGACATCGTAAAGGAAAAAGATTTGGTAGATTTGACTTCATACCGATCAGAAGCTTCTGTACATTAAACACACATGTACAAAAGGGCAAGGCAAACACTAAGCCAGAAAAAAAATCCTGAAAAACAGGCCAAAGGGCCAGTGGTAAAATGTAAACCATTTCAATCTTTTAAAAAATGTAAACTGTCTCAATCTGCCTCTAGGGCAGTTTGGCAAATGTATCAAAGTCTTGGACATGTATATATCCTTTGACCCAGCAATTCCAACTCTAAGAATTTATCCTTTGTGAGTAATCCTTGATGTACACAAAGATTTCGCTATTAAGGGTTTTTTATAATAGAAGAAAAATCTGAAACAGTTGAAATGACCACCAGTAAGTGATGTGGGGCACAAAAATAAAATGGTGAATGAAATACTAGGTAGCTCGTACAAGTCAGCCTGATGGCAACCGCATACTGGCATAGAAAAGCCTTCATGATATGTTTCCTTTGTTCTTTAAAAATTATGTAAATATACATATATACCCATGTACATTGTATGTACACACAGATTCAGGGTGTTACTGTTTATTTTTCTGTGTGTGTGTGTGTGTGTGCGTGCGTGTTCTTTGTGTTTTCCATGTTTTCCAAGTGTTTGACACTGATCAGGTGTTATTTTTATAGTCAAGGAAAAAACAAGGGATTTTTTTTTTCGTTTATTTGAAAAATATGGAAAGTGCAAAGGAGAAAACAGTAATCACACTCACACCACCCCAAATTAACCACTTCTAACACTTGGCATATTTGCTTCAGATTTTTTTCTTTCTGCAAACTTTTAAAATATAATTAACACCAAAACATTAGCCTTGGTTATCTTTAGATATGAGACTGTGAGCTGTGTTTTGGTTTTTTTCCTTCTTTTCCTTCCCTTTCTCTCTCTCTCTCTCTCTCTCTCACTCACTCTCTCCCCCTCTCTCCTTCTCTCCCTCCTTCCCCCCCTCTCATACTTTCCTGTATTTCCCAAGTTTTCTCTGATGATTATATTTTACTTTTTAAAGGGATAAACTTCAATTAACTATAAAAGGTAGACTATTTTTAAATGCCAAATAAAGTCTTAGACATCTAGAAGAAGGCAGGCAAGGTTTTGGACTTGAGAACAGCTTTGATGCAGCCCGGAGAAGAGAAGGCATCCCATATGGGTGGGGTGGCCGTATATCCCAGTTGCCCTAGACAGTCCAAGTCTTATACCTGTTGTCCTGACGACATTATTGGTGACATTTTGCACACAGTCAACGTGGTGCATGAAACCTGTGATTTGCGTAGAAGGATCCAGATCAGCACAGGCTCCTTCCTCCCGATAACACTGCTCTCTTCATTTCTTGTGTTTCCGGTCTTTTAAAAAACAAGGAGCCCCTTTGAAATTCCATAGTTATGTTAAGGTTAGGTAGTTTGATCAGATGATTTTTCTTAGTTCCTTCAAAGAAATACAACAAATTCATGTGAACGAGTGGTAAACCATGAGTTGCAGAGAGACAAGGGGATTGTTTACTCCTGGTTCCGTTGTGAGCCAGCAGCATGACCCTGGGCGAGTCACTGGACCTCTCCAGATTGGCTCTCCCATCTGCAAAATGAGAGGGTTGAACTGGAACAATTTCTATGGTAACTTGCAATTCTAAAAATACTGTGATTCCAAATTGAGATTTAGAGAGGCTGTGGCACCACAAGTAATAGCATCGAAGTTTCTAATTTCTTTGTAGCTGGTCTGTAGTCCTAGACTCCAAGTTAGCATCATTTCCAAGACCACTGTGAGAATTCTGGAGAATTCTCATCTGGCTCCCACGTTCCTGCAACAAAGATTCAGTTTAGAAGGCAAGTTTTAGACGGGCGAAGGGACCCCCTAGTCCAACTCCTTTGTTTTAGAGTTTAAGAAACTGAGCTCCAGAGAGCTCATGATTTGTCCATATCACAAAACTGGTCAGAGGCGGAGAGCGGGCTTTCTGATTCCCGGTCTAGAGCTTGTTACACCACAACGTGCTTCGCGCAGAACAGTCTTTTCTCAGTGCCACAGGACCTCATGTGCACTGTCACCAAAATGGTCCTTAAGGGCAGTTGTTCGCTGTCCAAAAGCATTGTGTCAATCAACTCCGATCCCTAATTTGGGGAAGAGTAAGGGAGGGGGGAGCAAGAGGAGGAGGGGACTGCAGAGCTCTGCTCCCCTAACCTTTGTTCTTTAGGTCTGCAGAAGGGAAAGAGCAATTCTTTTCTCTCCTTTTCAGTTCCAGAGCTTACCTTTTCCCTCTGCTAATTATAGAGCCACTGACTATTTGTTTACAGAAGCCATGTGAGTCAGCCAGCCCCCAAAGGGTTAATGCTCCCAAATTACTGGGCTGGGTTAACAATAAACAGGATGTCCTCCAGAAATTAAATTTAAACCACTGTGACTCAGGCTGGCCCATCCTCTCCACCGGATCGTTGTCTGGGGTTATTATCGGTGGTTAATTATACCATTGGGTTTAGCAACGGTGTTGGTCAGTTTGGGCCAAGAGAAAGCAGGCTTGGGCAGAAGGGCGTGCAGAGGGAAGGGGTGGGTGTGGATGGGTGGAAGCGGGAGGTTTGAACGGGAAGGGACTCGGGCGTCCTGAGCACTGAAAGGAGTGGGAGTAGGAGCGGCATTGTCCCCTCAGTGCTCTCTTGCTCTTGCCCTGTGCCCTGAGATGATCCCAGGGGTGCTTAACTCACTGTTAGCTCAGGGGCTTCGGGGAGCCTCCTTTCTCCAGCCATTGGTACACTTCAGAATTCTCAGTGCCTCAAGGCAGCTTCTGAATTACCAGTTTAACCCTATCCTTTGGCAGAGTAGGAAATGAATCTCAGGGCCGACCTTACCTGCCAGAGGGCGGCCTGCTCCTCAGAGGTGGAGGCAACAGTGGTGGGTTGGTTTAGAGCCTAGACTTTGACCTTCCTTCTGTTACGCCAAACTGTCGTCCGTTTCCAAGTGGGGAACCTTAGGTGCAGAGCTTCCTAGCAAGTTCTGGACAGACTTGGGCCACACTCAGAGCCACAGTTCAATTTTGTCAGTTCTTACCGGAAATAACCCAGCCTGGCTGGTCCTTAATGCCCCTTTAGTTTGTCATCCCTCTCCAGCCACAGAAGCAGCTCTGCAGGGCTACTGTTTGTCCCTCTATAGAGAAGTAGTGAAGCACCTAATACAGACGAGAAGTGGTGCTCATGGTGTTTTTTAAACGCTTGTTTTCAAGGATGATAGCTACCCTGGCGAACCTATAATTTCTGACTTTGCAGCTCCTCAGGACACAGATACACAGTGACTGTGAGTTGAACAGTATCTCCCCTTTCCCGCCCTCACCTCTGCACACCAGACTCTCGGTAGGAGAGATGCTCTGGGGCAGAAGGCGGTGCCCAGGACTTCCAGCTGACACTCCGGAGCCCAGCCTGGCTGCCGCCAGCCCAAAACCCACGGGGCAGGTGGCATGAGGGCTGGGAGTGAGCCGCCACCACTCTTTGCCCTCCTGGGGGACAGCGGCCTAGACTTCATCAATACTTTTCAGCCACATCCTTCCCCATTTCTCCTAAAAGCCCCCTTTGTCTCTGTCTCTCATAGGATTCCTTTCAAGATTGGGCAGCCCAAGAAACAGATTGTCCCCAAAACAGTGAGTAACCCAATTCTTTCATTCTGAGGCTCAGTCTGTCTCACGTGGCCTTTGCAGAGAACCAGAACTTTGACTCGGCTCATCGTGGGCCTGGGAGGGCTGCACCCTGGCTGCCTTCTTCCCAGCTGCGTTGCTCTAGAATCTCACCTAGACTGGGGCTTGCAGGGGCCTCCTAGCGTGGGACATTTTCCTTCCGCAGATCAGCCTGGGCTCATCCCCATCGTCCTCCCGCAGGTCGAGGAGGTAGGTGATGGGTGAGGAGGAATCCGTTGCTTCTGAACGGCCCATCTCTGCAATCTGGCGTGCAGTCTGTGCTTTCCTAAGAGGGCTCCTGAAACATAGGCCCCCACCTCAAGCTGCATGAAGACCAGGAAGCTTCTCCAGGGGGGTCCCTTTCTCTCCACTGCCAAGGGCATCTTGGCCAGGACCCAGAGTCAGCGGGAGAGCATGATTGAATCCTACCTCCTTGAGAGCCCACAGTTTTTATCCCTATTTTATCTCCAGAATGGGAGAGGAGTCATAGATTCTTAGAAAGTTAGAGATGGGAAGCCCTTACTGATCATCTAGTCCAACCTGATTTTTCTGACGAAAAAACCAAGGCCCACGAAGTCACAGTGACTTTCTAAGGTTGTAAAAAAAACTAACAGTGACAGAGCTGAAATTGGAACCCAAGCTGGAGCCTCTGTTCCATACACATTCCATTCCTTTATTCCACCTCACTTGTGCTGGGAAGGTCTCCCATGGTTTGGGAATTCTGGTCAAGAACGGCCTCTTGAACCCCCTCAGCCACCAGTCTAAGCAGGCTCTTGGTTTTACTGTGGGAAAGCCTAACTGCACACTGCCTGTCCTTGTGCCCGGCACCGCCCGCCTGCTGGGGCTCCTGACGCTTCTCTCGGCCTGATGACCTCGGCCCTCCTCGGCTCAGGACTCAGAACTACAGGAAAGATACTGCTGCAGTTTGGCAGGAAGGGAAGTTCATCACACATCTGACCAATGGCTCAGTCTTTGGAAAATCCGAAGTCAGGCCACTTAAAAGGAAGTGGGCCTGCATTTCTCTTTCAAGTGAAGGCAGGCGGAGGACGACGGAGAGTTTACCTCCCATGCAGAGGCTGGCCATCTGCGGAGGCTCTCAGCTGAAGCGCAGAGAATCTGGGCGTGCAAGTGTTGGGCTCCAGCCGGCTACAGGAAGTGGGAAGGTGTGGCTTTGAGTCTCCAGAGTTTAATCCGGGGCAGATCTGAAAGGGAAGTGGTTGTGAGAAGGGTCTTTTATTCCCAACGCTCACTACCAAAAAACAAACAGACAAACAGAAAACTCTCCCAACGCCCTTACTTTTAGGGAGATAGCCATTGTTCTCCACAGAAAAGTATAGGCTACAATTCAGTTTCTAGCTTCTTTACCAGAGTTTTTTTTGACAGATCTCTGAGTCTTTTCATCTGAGGAGTGGTGAGGACTCCCCAGAGGAAGGGCAGAGGTATACTCCCAGCGCCTACGGATGGCCCTACAGACAGGCCCGCGGATGGGCCCCTGGCCTGCCTCTCCTCCTCGTCACAGGGGTCTTGTTTGAGATAGAATCATGGTCCTTTGACTTTTGGAATCCGCTCCCCCAGACGGACTGGGCATCAAGTAGTGGTTAAGAAGCTGGATTTGGGAGGTTTCCTGCCTGCATTCCCACCGCTCTGCCACGTGCTGTGTGTGATGGCCGTGGCCAAGGCCCTTACGCTCTCTGAGCCCTGCTTTCTCCCTTCTTAAGTGCAGGTGAACCTGGAACCCATGCCATTGACGTATTCGGAGTCCTACATGAGGCCAGGCACTTAACACAGCGTCCGGCACATAGCGAGCCCTCAATAAATATTAACTCCATGATGGGAAGGGAGTTGATCTGATTCTTTCCAAACCACCGGGGATGCAGCCTATCCACAGCAGCCGGATCCCCTAGTGCGGGGGAGGGGGGGGGGTCGCGGGGGGGAGAATGGTAGGCGCGGCCTTTGATCTCTCACAAGGAAGCAAAGCCTGGTTAGGGCTTGGAAGAGAGTTGTTTGCTCCCTCAACTCCCCAGAGGCACTGAAGTGTAAAGAGCGAGAGCCTGCCCCTTCGGCCTCGTTCTCTGCCCCACAGGCCCCTCCTGGCCCCCAGCACAGGCCGAGCCCGGGCAGCCGTGTGGGTGACGCACTGTTCTTCTTGCCCTGGCGCTGTCGGAGAGGGCAGATGCGGCTGCCTGCTGACGGGAAGTCCTGGTGCCCCTGTCATGGGAAGAAACACTCATGTTATCTTCAGGGAGTTTCAGGAGGTTTTTGGCTCAAGGCACCCAGCTGTCAGACACAAAGAAAGCATTGTGTGTTTGCTCACACTGCTCTCCTGAGCCCAGGTCATTAACACGAATTCCATTATTGTCGGGGCTCTGGCTGGAATAGCATGTTCTCTGCAGGGGCTGGCCATCGCAGTGGGCCGGAGGGACGGAAGCTCCCCCAGCTCCCAGTCCCAACCTTCCGCTTAGTGCCCCCTGCCCCTCCAGTCCCACCAAGTAGCTGGAGCATCTTGGCGTGGCAGAAAGAAGCCGCTCCTCCCTCGTAACCCGCGTGGAGGGAAGAGCTCTTTGAAGCAGCGCCCCCGGCTCTCCCGGGGGAAGGAGAGCGCACACTGCGGCCCGTAGCGGGAAGAGCATCCACCGGGGCGCCGTGTCGAGCCTTCACTTGAGAGAGATTTTCACTTGCCGAGTGGAGAGTCTCTCAGCCTCATTTCATCTTGTTGCGACAGACCACGGGGATGCTGCCGCCCCGCCCCGCCCCGCCCCGCCCCGCCCTCCTCCGAGAGAGGCTGCTTGGCGCGCCTGGCGTGCCGTCCGCCTCAGCTCTGATCCGACGACGCAGCGTAGCCCCAGCGTTGCAGCCCCGGCCCTGCCTGCCCGTCTCTCTCTCACTTCACGGGTGGCACTTGGGGTGAGAGCTCAGCCCACTCGCTCACTTCACAAATGCCGACTCCGGCTCTGTGCCAGCCTGACGCCGGGGAACGGCCCGGGGGCCCCGGAGAATGCAGGGAGCGGCCTGCGGTGTGGGGCTCGGTCCCCCTGCGCTCACCCCGCGGCCCGGCCCCGCTGACAGTCTGCACATGTGTTTACACTTGCATTGTTGACCAGGGGCCAATCGCCTCTCTGGCAGAAGCATCAAGCATTCAAAGATATTCAGATCTTTTGTGTTTGGCTCTTTCCCTCAGAATGGATGTACCTTGGACTGAGACTCCAGTGTGTCTCTCTGTTCCCTTAGCCGTTGTCCGAGGGGCCAGAACCCTGGTTGTGCTGCCTTGGATCTTTCCCCAGGGGAGGGGAGAGCTCTGGAGACCAGCGGCTGTAGGAGCAACCCACACCTGGCCTCCAGAAGCAGAGGAGGGAAACATTCATGGACGTGGCAGCCTGTCGCATGGCCTTAAGCAGCAGTAGAAGGATCCAGCCCCACCCCGACATACTTCCCAGCTGCCAGCGTGAGACCTCAGGTTCCTCACCAGCCAGAGTGAGCCAACCCAGCTGGAACCCCACAGTCGCTCCATCTCTGTGCAAGTCCAAGCAGTGCCGGCCAGGGGGACCAGGTGCTGTCTGACATCCCACACACGCATCAGCACACGTGGGGATTGCAAAAGAGAGTGCCGGGAGCCAAGGCCGTGGCTCCGGTGGGTCGGCAGGCCTTCTCTGCACCCGCCTCCCCTTCAGGAGCACCAGCTCCATGTTCTTGATCTTCAGGAGAGCTGGATTCTGACCAAGACCTCCTTCATTTAATTTCGTTCTTTTGAGAAAAAAGGCTTTATCGTATGTGAAGACTGCTTAGCGGTCACATCCTACGAAGTAGGAGAGGGGATGTGTCCGGTGAAGGGAGGCCCCGGTACAACCCCCAGGCACAGGATCCAGGCTTAGCCAAAGGCCTAGCTATCAACCGACCACGTGCTTTGTGCTGCCCCCCCTCTCAGCCGAGGGGTTACGGTCTGGTCTGCACCCCCAGACTGCTCTGGTCCTCCCAGCGCCCCTGCATGTGGGAAAGGAGCAAGGAGACGCCGTCAGCGGGCCAGGCACCATGCTCTGGGCTCGGCACAGACTGCTGGGGGATCCTCCAAGCAAGCCGGCGGGCCGACGCTGCTGCCCCATTGCCTTGTCAGCCACCGGAAATCTTCGCAGGGAGAGGCTAGCCAGAGTGATCCCGTTCCACTAGGAAAGAAACCGAGACTGCGAATGTGAGGTAGTATTTTTAATGCTGCACAGCTGGCATCAGAGTGCAGTTCTCGTCAGTCTCTGCTCGCTCCTGTCCCCCACTGTCCTCGGCGGCAGTGCGGGAGAAAGGGCTGGACTGCCTCAGTGCGGGCTTGCTGGGCCCGGGCCAGGCTCCCCGCCCCAGAACAAAGCCCCTGCCTGCAGTCTTGCCAGACGCTCTTCAGGCTTTGGCTGAGACTCTGATTCCTGCCCAGCTACACATCCCCCGGGATAGGTGGCACTTGAAGCTTTTATCAGGAATATATGCTTTAGTGGGAGCGAATTTTGAACGTCTCCAGAGCAGCTTTTGATGGATCATAAGGAAGGCAATGATGAAGATGTCAGGTTCCTGGATGGAGGGGGGGGGTCTGTTGAAAAGAGGGCAAAGACTGTAGGATGAGGGGAAACCAGTGGTGAACTTTACTTCACAGCTTTGTGTCAGGCCCCAGATGCTGGGCACATAAAGTAAGGAGAGACCCCGAGTTCCCGCCTCTCGGTTTTACAGTTCAGATGAGGAAGGTGAGGTATGTCTGTGCAGGGCTGGTGACACGTTGTCATGCCCTGGGACCCTGGCTAGGCAGGTGCTCCGTGCCCTTCTCACAGGGCCCTGCCCACGGTTTGGGTCACACATGTACACTTGTATGTGACTCTGTTCCATCTGTCCCACCAGGCCCACGTCTGGTGTAGTTACCAGTGGAGTGCTCGCACCTGGCAGAAAGCATTGCACTTAATAGGTGCTCAATAAATGTTTGTGGGATTAATGAATGTTATTTTCAAAGCGGGGGAGTGTTCCGAGCTAGGAGTCTGAATTCTAGCCCTGCATCCTTCCATAAATCACCCCCCACCTCCAGGCTTCGTTCTCCCCACTCGTAACATGAAATAATTGGCCCAAATAACATTCTGCCATTCTGGGACTATGTTGAGTTTACCTAAATGCACCTGGGGAGTATGGGGTCCATGGGGCTCCCGGATGCTCCTTCACGGGGCACCATGACGGAAGGGCGTACTGGTGAAGAACAGTGGGGCCTTGACACTGCAGTTCTGCGCTCCGTGAGCTTCAGCCGGCATGTCAGGAGAGTGAGAATCTGGGTTCAGGGCTCTCACTGGCAGGAGTCTCGGGGAGCAGCCAAGAAGGCACCTTTCTTAGGTCGTGACTTTAATTCATCAGCAAATACCTTTTTCCCCTTTCTCAGAATGCTGGTTAAGCGCCCAGGCCTTGGAGCCAGGCCGCCCGTGTCCCCATCCCAGCTCTGCCGCTCACTAGTGCCGTGGTCTTGCACGGTTCGCTTCACCTCTGGCCGAGGGAGCTCCTGAGTACAGGGAGGGTCATTCGTACCCCTACCTCCTCCAGTTGTGGAAGCACGTGGTGAGCACCCCGCGAGCGTGAGCTGGTTTTCCCGGAGCACCTCAGCGCAGAGGCTCAGCAAGCCACCCAGGGAGCTGGTCCTGCCCGTGTGGAAGGGAAGGAGGAGAGGCCTCCGTCCCCTCCTTGCGGCTCTCAGGTGTCCTACACCTCACAGGCCACTCTCCTAAGAGACCATTGCCAGGGCCCCCGTTGATGGATGGGGACATTCAGGCGCTAGACGTGCAAGTAGTTTTCTTGACCTCACCTGACATGTAGGCGGCAGAATTGGGATCAGGACTCACACCCATCCGATGTAAATTTTGCTGGCATTGGGGAAATCTGATAACTTAGGAAGAATTTTAAGAGAGCCTTGCCTGAGTCAGTAGTAATAGTATTTGCGCTCGGTACATCCCAGCACAGAGAACGGAGACAGGGGCTTTCTTGATCCACCCCGAACCACCTCAGACTTCGCAGGTGGTAGGCCCTGTGAGGAAACCAGGGCCTGGAGCGGGAGGGGACCCGCCTGCTTCTCTGCTGGGCTGCCCTAGTCTCAGTCACATTCTGAGCACCTCACCTGCCACACGATGGGAGGGACGGGGGAGGAGAGGGAACACAGCCGGGCGCCTGGCTCCCTGTGGTGGAGGAACAGAGCCACAATCCGCTGCTACTTGCCTGGCTGGCCCATCTGGGAGGGGAGTCTTTTGCCCTAAATCAAACACTTAATTAATTTGGGAACACAGGGTTACTGTGTCGTTAAGGATCTGCAGGTGCTTGTATGGACTGGACGGGGTGGTTCTCCACGGCCCCGGGGAGGGTGTGCGGGGAGTTTCAGTAGGCTGGCAGATTTTTTCCAACGTGTTGTCATTTCTCCGATGATTGAGTTATCTCTTTGGTTACAGGTGGAGAGAGATTTTGAGAGGGAGTATGGAAAACTCCAGCAGTGAGTGTTGAACCCCAGGAGGACGGCGGTTGGTGGGGAGAAGGACAGGAGCCTCCCGCCAGGGCTCAGTTCCCACACTGCCCCATCCGGCACGGCCAGCAGCAGGCCGCTCCTCTGTCCCGCCACAGCCTGGGAGCCGAGGGCAGCTCGGTTCACAGCCTGCCAGAAATTCTCCCCCAGCTGACGGCTGTGTGAGAGTCGTTAACTCATAGCCCTTGGGGGCTTGGCCTCATGCAGACTGCCGGTGGCCCTCCCGTCAGTGGGACAAATCCCCGCAGCCCTGGGGCCCCTTCTTCTCCCGGCAGGCGATGCAGAGCGTCAGGATGGGCTTAACTCAGGTAGATGGGAAGGAAGGGGGCTGGAGCAAGCTGGCGGTGCCAGGTGCCCAGGCCGTGCCCCTGCTTTGCAGGCTGGAGGAGCAGACCAGGAGGCTGCAGAAGGACATGAAGAAGAGCACCGATGCTGACCTGGGTAGGTGGCATATCCCCGAGCCAGGCCTGGCCTGGGGGCAGCGGTGGCCCTCCGGCACGTTCGGGCTGCCTCCCGTGGTCTGTGCACAGAGCCACACGCCACCACTCATCCAGAGGACGCGCGTGGGTCTGAACACGACTGCCCTGGCGTCTCCAGACTGTGTGAGGCGGGCCCGGGGTCTGATTTCAGAGCCCATCTATTATTTGTTTTGCGGGTAGCTCCAGGTTACCTGGGTGGCATCTTTATCGTTCGCCACGGCCTTTCTAGTACAGGGGAGGCTGGAATAGCGGCGCCCGGGTGGCTCGGTCGTTAAGCGGCTGCCTTCGGCTCAGCTCATGATCCCGGGGTCCTGGGATCGAGCCGCGCGTCGGGCTCTCTGCTCCGCGGGGAGCCTGCTTCTCCCTCTCCCTCTGCCTGCCGCTCTGCCTACTTGTGCTCGCGCTCTCTCTCAAATAAATAAATAAAATCCTTGAAAAAGGAGAGGCTGTGACCTACTGCTTCCTTTCCTGGGTGCTTCTCCAGACAACCGTATGGCCCGAGCACAGATGAAGGGAAGGTAGTGTTGTCATAGTGAGCAGCTTTGGAAGCAGTAGAACGTCAGGGATCCACGAAGAGGAGAGCGTGGTTTTCCAATAAAGAAATCAGGATAAACGGGGGAGCCCTGGAGCCCGGAGTCAGAAGCGGAGTCTGGGCAGAGAAGGCCCTCCTGAAATAGCAGCGCCCCAGCCCTGCCCAAGGCCTGCGCCCCACAGTTGGTGCATAAGAGTCCCTGGAAGGCTCACCCCCAGGCACTACTGCTGCAGCTGGTTGGGGGCCCCCATTTTGAGAACTGCTGCTCCAGACAGTTAAGGGGAATCCAATTTCCTGATCTCAGAATCTCCTCAGCTGCCTGAACAAGTTCTAAAAATCCCATCCCATGTGCTCAAGCAAGATCGTCTGCACGTGACGGTCTTTGTTGACCCTTACATCCTGAGGTTGCATCGGGGCTCCAGAGACCCATGTGGTGTCCAAGACCCCCGCTCTCTTTAAGGTTCAAAGACCACCAGCCTCCCAGTTTGTGCCGGGCTGGCCACACCCTCCCAGTCCCTGAGAGTGGGGGCCAGCGGTGCTCACAGAGGCCGCTGAGGATTCCCGAGGGGGGGAGGGGGGTAATTCCACGCTGTTAATCGACTTCAGATGGTTCAGATGGTTCGAACAAAAAGACAAAGGCATGAAATGTGAAGGCTTTAGAAAAGAAAAGGAAAATTGGGAGGAAAGTCTTCTCCCCATCCTGACTTTTCAGGGTTTTTCCCTCAAATATTAAAAAAAAAAAAATTAGTGAAAGAAATTTTTCAAACACGTTTCCAGTTTTGTCCAAGTTTTTATCCTTTCACTATACTGTCTGAGATCATCTCATAATCCAGGCAAGTTACACATGGTGTTCGCTCCTAAGCATGCAAAGTCACTTCACGGCTTTGAAAGAGGGTTTTTTGCTCCATTGCTTCAACATTTCTGGGAGGTTTACGTTTCCGGGCTTCTCCCCTATTTTGCCCGTTTGCTGGGTGAGGGCAGCAAGCTCCCAGATTTGAGAGAAAGCCAGGACAGGGCTCTGGGCGGGCCGGTCATCCACCCGAGTGAGGAGGGGCCCCCTGGGCGGGCTTCTGTTTCTCCTTCCCCACGGCGGGCTGGGGTTGGGCCGAGGGCTGCTCCCTCCTCGGATGCAGGGGGCAGGCAAGGCCACATCTGTCATGAACTGGAGTGGCCCTTATTTCATCAATGCAGAGACGTTTTTTCACATTTAATAACATCGCAGATCAAGACACTGTAGCACTTGATAGCGTTTAGTTGGCATTTTTGTCCTTTCTTGATGGTTTGTGTGGTAACGATGTGTCTTGCAGCTGCTAGCATCTTAAATTCATGGCATAAAATAGTAAGAAATACACTCAGAAACTTGTTTTCCCCGGAGACCCTGAAACTGGCGCAGAGAGCATGGAGCAGGCAGGCCCTTCTCCAGCCTCTCTTTCTGTCCCTCTAGAATTTTTCTTTACAAATAATGGAGACCTAAAAACTTGTATGGGACCAAGAACTCCAGAGCAGCCGGGAGAGCTCCCTCCTGCCTCGGAGCTGCCCTGTGATTTTCAGGCTCCCCATACGTCAAGCAGGGTGTCAGAACACATGAACAAGGCTACAGCAGGGCAGTGGTGTCCGTCTGTGGGGAAATGACCTTGGACAGCATAAGCAGACACGCGGGCAGAGCCCATGGGGCCTGCCCACAGTGTCTCCAGGCCGGATCACCCGGAGGCAGAAGGCAGGTGCCCAGAGAGGCTGGGCCTGGCTCAGCACTTGCGGCTGTCTGACCTTGAAGGAGTTACAAGCTCTTCTGAGCTTCACCCGCCTCATCTGAAAGTGGAGCCAAAATACACTACCCCAGACATCTCCTGGGTTGTTGGAGCCCTGAATAAAACGGGGGGGGGGGTGGTAGGGATGGGAACCTGTTGGCAACTTTGGAGTTCTTGGTCTGGTACAGGTTTTTAAGTCTCCGTTGCTGGTGAACACACATCTAGAGCGGCAGGGAGGGGCGGGGAAAGGGCCATGCTTGCTCCGTAGGGCCCGCGCCCCCATTCTGCAGGTATTGTCTCTGGCAGGGTTGAGCAGTGGCAGCAGAAACCATGCAGCCCCAAAAGCCTAACCTCTTGATTTCTAGCCCTGTATGGTATGTTTGCCGACCCTGGTGCGGAACGCTGTTACTCCTGTCCGTGAGGGAGTCCCAAACCGAGCTTCACCTCCAAACCGCCTGGAGACTTTTTTTTTTTGTTAAAGATTTTATTTATTTGAGAAAGAGCCAGAGAGCACAAGCAGGGGGAGGGGAAGAGGGAGAAGCAGACTCACCACTGAGCAGGGAGCCCAATGCGGGACTCGATCCTGGGACTCCAGGATCATGACCTGAGCCAAAGGCAGTCACTCAACCGAGCCACGAAGGCTCCCGAGAGTTTTTTTTTTCTTTTAAAGATTTTATTTATTTGAGAAAGAGAGCACAAGCAGGGAGAGGGGCAGAGGGAGAGGGAGAAGCAGACTTCTCGCTGAGCAGGGAGCCCAATGTGGGGCTCGATCCCAGGACCCCGGGATCATGACTTGAGCCAAAGGCAGACGCTTAACCAACTGAGCCACCCCGGGGCCCCAAGAGTTTCTTTAAAATGCATGTTCCTGGATTCCAGACTTACTGAATTAGAATCTGTAGAGCTAGAAATAAGTATTTTTTTTTTTTTTACAGCTTCCCACCGAAATGATTCTATTAAAATCTAGAGTTCAGAAAATTAAGTCATTGCGGGCGCCTGGGTGGCTCAGTTGGTTAAGCGACTGCCTTCGGCTCAGGTCATGATCCTGGAGTCCCTGGATCTAGTCCCGCATCGGGCTCCCTGCTCGGCAGGGAGTCTGCTTCTCCCTCTCCCACTCCCTGTTTGTGTTCCCTCTCTCGCTGTGTCTTTCTCTGTCAAATAAATAAATAAAATCTTTAAAAAAAAAAAAAAAGAAAGAAAATTAAGTCATTGCAAAAGGTAAAGCTACTCAAAAGAATTACCCAGAGCAGCATCAGGTGGCCAGGAACAAACACTGTACAGTAAGGACTCGTGACTCATTGGCTCTGTGGTACTTTGATGGTTTTCTGGTCTGTGGCCGGAGTGGAGGTCAGGGTACAGCCCCTGGACTGAAGGAGGATGGGGGTCCTGACAAGACCTTGAAGCCTGTCCCATCCTAGGCTCACTGAGCCTTGACCTCTTACAGCCATGTCCAAATCTGCCGTGAAGATATCCTTGGACTTGCTCTCCAATCCCCTCTGCGAGCAAGACCAAGACTTCCTGAACATGGTGACAGCTCTGGACACGGCCATGAAGCGGATGGACGCCTTCAACCAGGAAAAGGTAAGTGGGGGTCTTGCTCTCCCCCTTCTCACGGCTTCTGTGTGGGTGGAGGGCCTTCACGGAGTCCTTCACGGGGCTCAGTCTTCGATTCACCCTCTGAGGCCCGAGTGTTGCAAGCCCTGGGAGTTCTTTTCCTGGCCCCGCCTCGGCCCTGGTTGCTTCCCGTGGCCGCTCACTGGGAGACCCCGAGGGAGACGGGGTAGCTGTGCACGCCCGCAGCCCCTCCCCCTTGCTGTCCTCGTCCACCGGGCCCCTGTGGAGCAGGGCTGCTAGCGGTACTCCCTGTTGCCCTGGGGCGCCTCGCTCCAGCGGCAGTTAGGGGTGCCCCGCCTCACCGGTCCCCCCCCACTCCCCGCGGCCTCGCCCCTGCCCGGGGCTCTCAGCAGAGAGCCGCCTTTCCCTTCTCAGGAACCTGGAGCCTCCCGTTTGAGGAAGAGTCTGACTTCCCCTCAGTGTTGATGTCATTGGGTTTTTTCTTTTAACAGGTGAACCAGATTCAAAAGACCGTGATTGAACCCTTAAAAAAGTGAGTAGAGGTCGTGTGGGGACCACAGGCCTCAGGGACCTGGGCTCGGGGCACTTACGGGAAAGGCAGGCCCCCTAGCCAGTTGGCCACCAGATGACATCTCTAGCAGCCTGGCTCCAGATGCACGCGGGGCTGACCAGCAACTCAGCAGGGATGCTAGCCACGTGACCCGGGGCCCTGGGGTGAGACCCGCGGTGGCCCCAGAGCACGCGCCTGGCCCGGGCGCCCCCGGTGACGGCCTTCGCTCGGGCGGTCACTTGGCCAGTTTCTCCTTTGTTCCTGACTGGGAAGCGGAGGGCCGGAGCTTGCCGAATTAGGCGAGCAGAGCTCTTGGCCGGCCCTCCACCCGGGCTGGGCTGCGCAAGGCCTCTCATCTCCCCGCCGCACTGGGAGAGCGGCTGCCTGCAGCGCTGGGCTCTTGAAATGTGGGGGTGGCCGCACATGGGGAAGTGCTGCCTGGGAAGGCCCCCAACTCGTGACCTGTCAGGGTCAGAAATTCTTCTGTGAGACTCATTTTCTCTCAGGCAGGCCCTGGGGCGGTGATCAGACGGGCCTACTCTCCCTGAGTCCCCAGGGAGTGGGGGGACAGGCAGGAGCGGTGCCTTGAAGCTCCCGATCACTTCATCTTCTTCCCTGGCCTCTCCCAAACGGACTCTGACCTAGAAAGGCTCCCGCCCCAGCCCGGCAGCTGCACTGTATTACCTCTTCTGCGGTGGTCCCCGGCAGCTGCCTCACCAGGCCTGGGTAACGAGGCTTCGCTAATTACCATTAGGCCTGGATCGGGGCCCGGGCGGAGATGAAGAGAGCAGGTTCTGGTCCTCCAGCCCCTGGCGTTGGGGTGATGGGGCTCTTCACTCCCTGTTCAGGTCCAAGGGGTGGGGGTGAGGGAAAGCTCTTTCTAAGCCAGGGCTGTCTGGAGGCTCGGCCTCGGTGGGAAGGGATTTCTCCCTGCACCCCGCTCCTTCCCTGGGCCCCGGGTTGCAGGGTCCCACGAGGAGCTGGGTGCCGAGGAGGCTGCTGGCTCAGGAGGGGAGTGTGTCAGCAGGAGTTCCATTGCTGGTGGCCTTCTGACTGGGTCTCCAGAACCGAGGGTTGGCAACTGGGTGGGAAGGACCAGGGGCCACCACAGAGGCTGCTGTGGACACCCACGGCTGGCAGAGCTAGGCAGGGGTCGGAGAACTAGGGGACTGACTCCGATCTCGATTTCACAACCAAGGAGGTGGCCTTGAAATCTGATGCCTGGCTTCTAGAGCCAAATGGAGAGAAATCCCGGCTGCTTCCCACCGCCCCAGCAGCCCACCACCTGCCAGGAAGGTGGGTGAGTGGCACGGGGGGCAGGCACCATCTCCGCAGCGGATCCGCTGACCTCTGCCTGAGCCCCCCCGGGCCTGCCTGCCAGCCCCCCCAGCTGCCTTCTCCGTCCCAACGCCGACATGCCATCCCCCACAACCACATAAACCCGGCACTGCGTGTTGCCGCCTCTTGCCAGGAGAGAAGCTCCCAGGGACCCCGGTACCGGAAACAGGAAACTGCAGCTTTCCTGTCCTCTGATGAAGAACATCGCCACATGGCCGCCCCGCCGCCCCCAGCCTCCCCCCACGGGGCTCGGCCTCTAATCCCCCAGTCTCTGGGCTGCGTTCACATGGTCGGATGGGGATGCTTTCAATTTCCCTTTCCTGGTGGGTGGAAGATCCCGGCTGTGTGGGCACAGATTGAGGGATGGCAGGCATTCCCCACCAGGGCCGGCTGCTCCCAGCCTACCTCCCAGCCGGCCTCCTTCTCCCTCCCCCTTCCCCTCCTCCCTCTCTCTGCCTCCTCACCTCACAGCTCAACCAGTGGGGGGGCAGTTTGGTTGAACTTTAGGACAGTCACCTGGGGAAGAGCTTCAGCGATGGTCTGGTGTCAGCCCAGCCCTGTTCTCCCTTCTCCGGAGGGTAGACACAACACGGATTTTAGGAGCTTGTGACCTAGTGCCGACGGATAATCCATATAGCCGAGGTGGTGCAGTGCAGTGGAGTGGGGCAAGTGCTAGGCGGGCCAGCCAGCCCACGACCTTGGCCAAGTCCCTGCTCCTCTGAATCGGCTTCCCCCTCTGTAGAAAGGGAGGCCTGGACCCCACCCCTGCAGTGGCTCAGCCCGTGCTCAGGAGGATGGGACAGAGGTGTCCATGGGCTGAAGCGGTGGGTTGAGCTGCCTGTGGAGGGTGGAGTCTGCTCTGGGGCCCTGGCCCAGGGACTTCCGTGTTCCCCATCACTGCTAATTATCGGGGGGAAGTGGGAAACTGAGCAGAGGGGTCCAACTTCCCAGCCTTGTTTCTTTGTGGCAGCCCAGTGAAAGTGTGGACTTCAGGCCTCAGGGAGAGCTGGGTCCCCCACCTTTCCCAGTCAGCTGAAGTCAGCAGGTACCTCTGTAGGGTGCTGGGAGCAAGTCTGGGAGGCCCCAGGCACAGGACCACCAGCCTGTGCCTATCCCCACCTCCCTGCCCCCTTCCTCCCCGACCTGAGGATGGAGGAGAGCACCGGACACTCCGCGCCCGGGGCCTGCTGCCGTACGAACTGCTGGCCTTGCACACCAGCGTGGTGCCCACACCGCGCACCGCGGGGAGCCGGCAGAGTCCCGTGTGTTGTGTCCCCATAGTTAATGGGGAGGTGCAGCCTCAGCAGGGCAGTAACCGGAACCAGGAGTACAGAGCCCTGGGCCCCCACTCTGTCATCAGCCACCTCAGATGCGCTGTCTGGTCTCCCTGCCCACCCTCAGGTTACCCTCTTTAAGAAGGGCATGACCCCTGCCTCTACCCCTAGGGAGTCCCAAAGCCACCCAGGTGGTAAGTGACTCATGACCCGTCTGCGGCGACCTAAGCCAGCTAAGCCTCCTGAGGCCTCTTGGTGTGCCTGACGGGCGCCATTGTGGGAGGCCGAAGTTACCCTGGTGAAGAAATGGTTTTCCTGGAGGCTCTAACAGGGCCGGGGCCAGCTTGCACTGCAACCACAGGGGCCAGGTGGTCTCGCTTCCAGAGGCTGAGGAGCGTCCTCGAGGCACCCCCACTCTTACCCTGCCTGGCCCCGTGCCCTGCTCCCTCCTCGGGGCCCGGGACTTGGCCCTCGGGGCGGGGTTCCTGTGTCCTTGGTAAGCTGATCCAGTGCTTGCATTTAGTCAGCGTCTCTGGTGCCTTTGACCCAGGCCCTGGGAATCGACCCCAGGTGACAACTGAGGACGAGTGAAGAGACAAGTGCTGCTGGGGTCAGAGGGTATCCAGAACGGCTCGGCCAGCCAGCGCGGTGGTCGCCCCGCCCGGCCCCTGTAGCGTGCCCCTCATGCTGTGTGCACGCTGCTGCCCTCTTTCCCAAAAGGAGAAAACTCTCCACCTGCCGCTTCCTGCCCCCTCCCCCCGGGCCACCAGCAGCGTGGACAGCAGAGGCCCAGGCCCTGGGGCCACTCAATCAGGTCACTTCTAATGAGAGAATGAGGGTGCCCAGCGGTGGCCCTTAGTCTGGCTGGGGTGGACGGGGAGGGGGTGGTGGCTTCTCAGGCCCCACAGCACCTGCTCCCTTGAGTCCCATGCCTCTCAGCTGCTGGCCACACTCTTCCCAGGAGAGGAGAGGGGCTCGCCTAGCCACTGAGACCCGTCAGAGCCCCCACCAGAGGCACAAATGGCGAGGCCTGTCCCTGCGATGGTCTCAGCCCTTCGGACCCGCCGTGGGGTGGGGGTAGGGGGGACACCTTTGTCCTAGAGGTAGCCACTCCCCACGCCCAGTTTGCACAGCACCAGGGAGACCCCTTCTGCGGGCAGATCAGTCATTCAGTGTTGATTTGGTGACTGATTTGTCTAAGGGCATGTCTTACCCACTTCTAGGCTCTCCAGTCGGGCAGTGAGCCCATTAGCGCACCCCGTCGATCAGAGGGACTCATTTCAGTGCCCTTCTCGGGGATGTAAGCCTTTCGTTCCACCAGACCCTGCTGCCTGCCTCTGTAGCCTTGGCTGGCAAATTCAGTGCTTTGGTCAAATTTATAGTCTCTGTTCTCTGGCAAAAAAATACTCATTACTCTTGATTTGTTGAGGCTTTTAAAAACCAAATTCACCTAACTAGAATTTTAAATAAAAATGGGAAAAGAAAGAAAGAAACCCAAATTCGTGGGCATGCTCCTTTGAGAGGCAGACTCGGAGAATCGTTCCCGATGTGGCCTCTAAACTGCCTAAACATGGCGCGGGGGCTGCTGGGCGCTCGTGAAGGGGAGGCCCCACCGCGCCTCCTCGCTCTGAGTCGCCCCCTCTGCACCTCGCAGCCCCGAATAACCACGCTTCCGCCGCCGCCGTGTACCTCGGTTGCGGGGCCAGATCTGCTCGGGCGGCTGGCGCCCCCGGTTTGCAGGGTGGACGCCTCCTGCAGGCTTTGCATTCCAGGAAGCTGGTCCGTCCCCTGCTGTCCAGAAAACCCTGCTCGCAGCTTTGCCTCTTGCCTTCTCCAGCACTCATGAACCGAGGGAAGTCCAGCATCCCTGCCTGGCACGCAGTCCTGCCCTGTGTCTCTCTCGAGATCCCGTCGCCTTTCCCAGTTAAAGATGACACTTGTTGCATAATGATGCCCACAGGGGCCAAAGTGTCCACTGCCGCTCTGTGTGAAGGGCGCACTCCTCAGCCTTTCCCTGTGGTCCTTTGTCGTCGTGGTGGGGCAAGAAGATGCCCTTGAGCCATTTTCCTCCAACATCTGCTTTGACGGTGTAGCCATTTCAGTGGGAGAAGCAGAGGATTCCTGCTTTTCCTGTGGTCAGCTGATAGAAATAGGCCACGACTAGGTTCTGACTGCAGTTGTCACCCGCTGGTGGCATCATGAGGTGGTGGGGAGGTGCCAGAGAACTGGGACACCTGAGCTCTCTGCTGGGCGGTCACTACCTCATGGTGACCTTGGACAAGTCGTGCCATCGCTCTGGCCTCCATTTCGTTCACTGTATGAAAGGAGGACGTTGGGCAGATCAGTGCGGGGGTCTCTGGCTCTTCCACACTCTGTGCCGGGTCTCTGTCGTGGGCGGGGAAGCGGCAGTGGCCGCGTCAGGGGCTTCCTTGCCTTCCTGCCCCCGTGGCTCCTTTCAGGCCAGCGGGGTGACCCTGAGCCCTGCCTTCCCTCCGTCGTCCTTCCCGCAGATCGCAGCCTCAGCCGCGGGAGCTCCCTCGCTCGTGTGAACGGGGCCTGGCGCCGAGCAGGCCCTCGGGAGGTATGTCTGAACGGGGCCCCGAGCTGCTAAGAACGGCCCGCATCCGCCCGGGCTGTGTCCGCAGGTTCGGCAGTGTCTTCCCGAGCCTCAACATGGCGGTGAAACGGCGGGAGCAGGCCTTGCAGGACTACCGGAGACTGCAGGCCAAGGTGGAGAAGTACGAGGAGAAGGAGAAGACGGGGCCCGTGCTGGCCAAACTCCACCAGGTACCGAGTGAAGGGAGAGGTGGGCGGGGACCACGGGCCCCACGGTGACACGCGGCGCGGGCCTCCTTTACCTGGGGGCCGACTCCGGGGCAGTGGGAGCAAGGCACAGATGCCACCATACTCGCGCCCCCACGTCGTGCGCCCGGCGCGGACCCCCCGGGAGGCCAGCCGGGGCCCTGAGGCCGGCGTCTTGCCGCGCAGGCCCGAGAAGAGCTGCGGCCCGTGCGGGACGACTTCGAGGCCAAGAACAAGCAGCTCCTGGACGAGATGCCGCGCTTCTACCACAGCCGGCTCGACTACTTCCAGCCCAGCTTCGAGGCCCTGATCCGAGCCCAGGTGAGGCCACTCCCGCCCGGCCCGAAGCGGGCGGGACTCCTGCTCCCTTGGGAGCCGCCCCCGGCTCCCTAGCACCTCCCGTGCCGCCCCCCCCCCCCACTCCGAGTGCCTGCTCCACTTTCCGTTTGGGCTCCTCCAGTGCTCTTCGGTTCATCCCGGCCCTGGGAGGAGGGTCGTTTCTGTTGAAGGGCTTCCCCCGCCACGTTCTCTCCCTCCTGGCCTCGTGCCACGGGGCAAGGAGAAAGCAGGCCGCGCTGCGAGCGCCTCCCTTCGGTGGGCAGGCCGTGCTCGGGAGGCCAGGCACAGAGGCCTACGGGGTGAAGGCCCTTTGCCCAGGACCCCGCGCCCCCGCTTCCCCCACTCCAGTTACCCCTCTTCTTTAGGCGGGGTACTGCAGGGTGTCCTGACTCCTAGCCGCCCTTGGAGGGGTCTCTGAACCCTGGGGAGAGCCGTGCTCCGGGCCCCTGTCTGGGTGTCCGGCCATGGTGCAGCTTCCGGAACAGCAAGCTGGCCTCAGGCTGGCTGTGGGTGGAGGTGCAGGGGTAGCCCCGGGGCCAGGCTGCTAGAGGGTGGGACACAGGCTAAGCCCTTGTCTCCCACCCCGCACGGCTGTAAGGACACGGACTGTACACCTGCGTGTTAGCTCCTGCCCTCCTCGCCCGCCATTCTTCAAGCGGTTAGCAGGGCGTTTTCTCCCTATTTCTAAGAGAAAAGGGTAAGGTGCCCAAGCCAAGAGGTCTCCGCCACGTGGGACCCCCAGCCCACGGCAGGTGCCCAGCATCCTGCCACCTTGCCCTCAGGTCCCCGGCAGGTAAAACAAAGCTAGAGGCTCAGCCACCTCCAGCCCGCTTCTGCTCTTGGCCTGGGCGTCTGGCGCCCTCCAGTGGACACATTCGTTCCTTGCACTCAACAGTCTCAGGCGCCCGCGGAAAAGACGGATTCCTGCCTCCCCAGCCTGCCATCTTTGGAGGACACCCAAATGCATGGGGCTGCACACCTGGGCCTCGGGAACCCTGAGCAGGAGTGATGGTGGAGCTGGACCTTGTTAGTGACCATGTCCTGGGTTGCTAGGGAGAAATGAGGCAGAACATGAACTTGCACAAGCGAGTGGGGGTTCGTGCACCTGCCCGCAGAGCATTGCCCCTGGAGGTGAGGGCTTCCTTCCAGCAGCTCAGCCTAGGCTCTGGAGGAATGTGTTTAAGGAGACCTGTGCCTTCCCTGTCCTGTGCCACCACCACCCCTGCCCCCTGCATTCTGTTGTTCACGGGAGGAAGCTCCAGGGTGCCCAGAGGCGCGAGGGACACCCTGTAACCAAGCAGCGGGCTGGCTGGGGGCTGTTTACTGCCTCCTCAGCACCAGCCTCCCCCTCCCGAGGCTGTGGCTGCCATTAGTCACTAGAGAAGTGAGCATTCCTAGTGACTCAGCCTGCGCAGTGCGGCTCTGGGGCCGGGGGTGGGGGGAGGGCGGGCTAGGCCCCGCCCGCTCAGGTGGCAGCGGCCCTGACAGACCTTCACTTAGCTGCCCCCCAGCCCAGTGGAAATCCAGCCGTGGGAGTGCTGGGGACACAGCCTCCGACGCAGCCGAGCCACGGCCCTGCCACCCAGCCTGCCGCTCGGCCTCGCCTTGCAGTACGAGCACTCCGGGGTCTGGAGTGGAAGCAGAGTCCCTTCTCCCCGGAGACACCTGAGAGCTGGAGATGACATGATTTAGGGGTGTCCAAATAGTGCTTGGAGTAACGTGCATCACTTTCATGAAAGTAGGTGTCTGCTTTGGGTCACGAGCTGGCGACTTGAGGCAGAAGCGGCCCCTGGAAAAGGCACTGGGTCTAAAGTTGCCGGCGGGTCTCCCCCGTCCCTCCGCACGCCCGCACCCGCCCTGCCGCAGGCCTCTCCTGTCACTCCTGATGGCCCCCTCCCCCCCCACAGGCCTGCGGACGGGCCGCCCTGACGCGGTGCTGAGCAGGCTGTGCCACCCGTTAACAGTGGGACAGGTCAGGAAGGAACAGGCTAGGGAGGGCTCACCTTCCTCACCTCTACTTCGAAGAGCAAGAGCGGCTCTCGGGGCTCCGGGGCCAGCCACGCCCCATCGCCCATGGCCGGAGCTCTCGGCTTCTAGCTGCGCTAAAGCAGCCTCTGGTCCGAGCCTGACTCCCCGGCTTCCCCAGGACCTGCCAAGGGGCCCGCCAGTGCCCCCACCCCGGCCTCGGGCTGCGCTGTCCTCCTCTACCTCCTGGCACCGGCCCCTCCGCCCCTCAGCTGCCTGGAGGGCTCGAGGGCAGAAGCCCCTCGTCCACCTCGCCAAGGCCCCGTTGCTTCCCTCCTCCTCTGACCTACTGCCGTCCCGGCAGCAGCAGTGGATGTTCCTGAAGCGCCGGGGGCGATGGCTTCAGTCTCCCTGCTTGCCACGCAGTTTTCGGCAAGGGCAGTGACGGAGGGAAAAGTGGAAACCAGCCCCCTTCGCTCAGCCTGAGTGCTCCGCTTGAGGGGACAGCAGCGTGCGGGCCTCTGGGACGTTCTCTGGCCCCACCTGTCCTGCTGTGTCCGGGGGGTGCAAGGCCGTGCGGACCTGGTACCCCAGGAGCCCAGCACCTGCCGACCTCCTTCTCCGCAGGTTGGGTACTACTCTGAGATGCAGAAGATCTTTGGAGACCTGACCCAGCAGCTTGACCAGCCTGGCCACCCTGATGAGCAGCGGGAGAGGGAGAACGAGGCCAGACTGAGTGAGCTCAGAGCCCTCTCCATTGTGGCTGATGACTGAGTCCCCACCACCCTTTCGAAGACTCCTGGGACACAAGTCAACCTCTTTGGTCTTTGCCCTCGTCAAGCTTAGGCTCAGGTGTCAGCCAGCAAAAGGCCCTCCCCTGAGAGAAGTATGGGGACAGCAGTGGCCCCTGCTCTACCTCACCAGCCCTCTGCAGTGAGCCTGGCACCAAGAGCCCCAAGCAGGCTGCTAGCTCCCCACCCATAGCAAGAGCCCAGACAGGTAAGCAGGGCAGAAAAACTCCAGGCACCTTCTCATTTCCAAAAGAACCGTCCAAAGGGCATCCTGGCCTAGGGCCTGAGCAAGCTTCCAGCCTTCAAAGGCCCAGGCTGTCTGCTCACCTGAGGTCTTAGCCTTGCTTGCGTGGCCGTGATCACATCTACCTCCAAAGACCTATCCTGGAGAGTCCACCCGCCCTCATTGCCTTTCCACTTCAGACTCCTTTTTTCTGAAGAGGCCCGAGACACTGCCGTGGGGAACAGAAGAGCTGTGGTTCCCCCAGCCCAGACAGACCCCTCACTCCAGCCTCCCAGCACGACAAAAACTGGCTTAGCCCACTTCTGTCCCTTAGGCCAAGTGCAGAGAAAAGCCCCAAGCCTTGTAGGTTCCCTAGGAAACCCGACTCCGCTCGTGTCCATAGGCTACCGACCGCACAAAATGTCACAGCCTGATTCACAGGCCTCAGAGCAAGAACCGGAGTATTTGGAATTTTATTTTTTCAAGTAAAGTTTTCAATAAAATCGACAGCTGTTACTGTGCCGTGACTGAGAGCGCCACCGTAGGTTTGTCAGGCTTGTGCTGCCCCGCCCCGGTCCAGCTGGACGCACCCCTGCGGCACTGCCTCTCTCGACCAGCAGGTGGCAGGGCCGAAAGCACCAGGGGCCAGCCCCTCCTGCTGCCCTGGCCCACCTTCTGGACTGGAGGGCTGGGAGGAAGGGGGCAGCACAGGACGACCTACAAGAGGAGGAAGGGAAGAGCTACCGAGGACACGTGGCTTGTTTTTGACTTTGGTTTATTTAAAAAACAAAAAGCCAAAAAAAAAAAAAAAAAAACTTTATATACAAAGTCAAACTGAAACCACGGATTATGGAAAGAGGCAAGACTTATGGGGGAACAGGGAAAAAGGCTGGGCCAGAGCCAATACCACATTCTGAACACGGGGAGGTGCTGGTTTCTTCTGGCAAGTCCGGGGTGGCTGGAACACAGTGCTCTCTGGCAGACACAGCCCAACACCACGGAGTTCCCTAGCACAGACCTTTCCTGCGGTGGCCAAGGGAGAGCCTCCCCCCCGCCCCAAGAACCTGCTCCTGTACCTAGCAGGGTCTGTGCCATCCAGAAGAGGAAGGGCTCTTACCCCCCGCCAGATTCCACGGCTGTTTCTTCAGTTTATTGGCATCAGATCTTAGGACAAACTTGAAAAGCCTTTTCCTCCCCTGTCTTATTCTAAACTGGAAGAGGACAGGAGAAAGCACAAGACTAAAGGGCCCCAGGAGAAATCCCAAGGTGGAGGGCGAAATGACATTCGAGGGGTGCAGAAGGTGTTGGATTTAGTTGTCAGGTGGAACCGGGGTTCCCCACTCATCCGTCCCACACAGCACAGACCCCACCCTGACGGCCTGAGCTCCTCTACGGAGGCTGAGCCCAGGGGTCAGCCACCCCCGCCTACGGCTCCCAGGGCCTGCGCCAGCTTCTTTGGGCAACCAGAAGGGCTCTGACGTCAGCAGGCTCCATCGCTGGCCTCACAGGAGGGCAGCTCCTGTGCCAGGCCCCTCAGTTGCTAGGTGCTGCCTCCTCCTTCTCTACCCAGCTGTCCGCCTAGAAAGAGAATGAGGACTCGAGGAGGAAGGGCCAAGACGGGAGGCCCAGCAACGCTCCCCGCCGGCAGACCAGGCTGCCGCCTCGGTGAACCTGGGCGGGCACGGGGAGGGGGGGAGGCCCACCTTCTCAACCATCCGCTGCACCTCCAGCTGCAGGGGGGTCAGGCGCCTCCGGAACTCCTGGAGCAGCCGCTGCAGCTGGTTCCTCTGGCGCTCGGCCGCCCGGGCCGCCTCCTCGGCCTCGGCCAGCCGGCCCCGCAGCTCCTGCATTTCCGCCGCCAGGGTTTTGTTGGTGGCCTCCGTGGCCGAGAACCGGTTATGGCTCTCCTCTGGTGGGGGAAACGGCAGAAACACTGCTGCTGAGTTAAGCATCGCGGCCCAGGGCAGGAGGCCCGAAGCGTGAGGAGCAGGATCCCTCTCAGTCTCCAAATACACACATCTGCGCGCCCCGTCGGGCCGGGCCCCTGCGGCCACAGGCCACTCACCCAGCTTCAGTTCCAGTGTGTGAATCTTGTTCTCCAGGTAGAGCCGCCCGCTGTCCTGCTGCTCTGCACGCTGCAGCAGGTTCCCCACGTTTATCAGGCTGCCGTTGTGGGACACCAGGCCTTTGTGCTCCGTCGGGGCGGCGCCCGGCTTCGCGCTTTTCCCCGAAGGAGGCAGCAGGTCCAGGTTTCCTGGAAGGGGCCACGAAGCAGGTTTAAGGAAAGGGTCCCCAGAGGAGAGAGCAGCCGGGCCCGCCCGTGCTCCCTGGAAGGCGGCAGGGCAGCAGGACGCACCAAAGAGCACCTCCTCGGGCAGCCCGCCGTCCGTGCCCTCCTGGCGGCTGTACTGAAGGCTCCGGTACTGGCAGATGTTCTGCGTCACCACCCTGCTGACCAGCTGTTTGGCCTAGAGAACACCCCCCCGGACAGCCACTGATGAGAAGGCGCGAGCCCCTGCCCGTGCCGCGCAAGCACCCGGACCCGCAGCCCGCCGAGCCGCGCGCAGCAGTCCAGTGCGCGCACGGCCGTCGGGGTCCGCGGGTCCCGAAGGGCCCCCGAAGGGCCCCGGGGCATGGGAGGACAGGCACCTGCTCTGCACTGAGCCGGAGCCCAAGGGTGAGCAGGATCCTCTCTAAGTCTCGCCGGTGCAAGTAGCCACACCAGTTGGCATCAAAGAAGACGAAAGCAAGAAGACAGTCCAGAGGGAGCACAGCAGACGGGTCCAGCTCCTTGGGCTGCAAGAGAAACAAGGATGAACGAGATTTACCGAGTTCTCTCAGAGGCGAAATCGCCCAGGAGCAGCCCTCCGAAAACTGAACGGACACGATCACACCCGGGCAGCCCCTCCGGCTGGAGACAGGACCCGGGCCACTGCCGCACCACAGGCTGGCCCACACACGGACGAGCTGAGTGCGCGCCCGCATCGGGTACCTCACTCGGATGCACCCGGGTGGACACACTGAGGGGTCGCGGATCCTACGGAAGTACCACTCGGCGAGCCAAGAACCACGTTTTGTCTTTTGTCAGTCAGACGGTGCCAGAAGTCCTACGGTAAAGTCTCCCTCTCCCAGTGCCGAGTCGGGAGGCCTGGCCCGGCTTCACTGTCAGTGGGGCAGGGGGGCAGGAAAGAGGGCTCACCATGTCCTGAAGAGAAGAGAACTCCATCTCCGATTGGTTCGAGGCAACCGACCGGACCTCCGAATCCTCTAGCTTGGTTCCTGCTACAGGAAGCCTGAGGTGAGCGTGGAGCAGGGACCCCCCCGGGGCCCAGACCCACAGTGGTGACAGGAGAGCACCAGCTACAGAGCCGGGCGGCCGCTGCGTGAGGCCAGCACGTACCGAACTCCTCTTCACCATCATCCCTCAGGAGGAGCAGCTCGGGGTCAAGGGCCATCTCACAGAGGTCCTCCGATGCCTCACCCCGGGGTTTCTCTTCTTCCTCTCCTCCGGAAGATGGAGGTTTGGGCAAAAGGCCATCTTCCTTCTAGAAGCAAACCAAGATGAGAACGGACACCTGTAACTGCTAACAGTGATAAGTGCCAACATCTGCGCACCGACCGTGTTCGGGCACCGTGGTAAGGGTTCTGTCTACACGGTCTCGTTTGCTGCGTTCCGTGACGTGGGGTTCAGAGCGAACTAAGGGCGATTCCCAGGCACCTGGGCTTCTCTTTAGGAGTCGATCGGAGTCCCGTCAGAGATCACATTTACTCGATGGTACTTAGGTAAGAGAGAGACCCATGTGCTTTAGAAAGCGTTAAGAAAATGCACCGTTCTAGTTAACCATCAAGTTGCCAAAACACCTGTCCTCACGGCGTGGCGCTGTCGGCCACGCTTCCAGGCCCGCTTCCCCTCTCCTCGCACACCACCTCCTAGCCGTGCGGCCGTGTGGCAGGGGGACGAGGTGCATGCAGGCAGTGAGAGGAGCCCCGCGGGGCCCCCAGCGGCGCCCGGACCCACCCGGCACCCCGCGTGCAGCCCCAGAGCCCGTGCGGGCAGCAGAGGTACTCACCGGCGGGGCGTCTGACTCGGCAGCTGTGCCCTCACTCTGTACCTCATCCTTGGGCTCCTTGGCAGCCTCTTCCTTGACTGTTTCTTCTTCCTTGGCCGCCTCCTCCTTCTCAGGTTCAGGCGGGGCCACCACCTTTTCGGGAAGGCTCAGCAGCATCTTATAAATCCTATAGCCAAAATCCCTCTGCAGCATTTCCAGAAACAGCTCTGCCAACACCATCACCTTGTGGAAGAGGCAGCAGAGGTCCGTGAGCATCAGGAAAAAGGGAATGTTCGAAGCCCTGCCATCCCACACACACTACCTCACAGCCTCCGCAGATTCCTACACCTACTTCAAAAGAGATCCTTTCTTTCGGCCTCCGGTCCTCCACAATACTATGGAGGGACAGGCTGACACAGCCAGGGCGCGCCAGGACGGCAGGCTCTAGAGGGGGCGGAGGGGCCTCTGGGAGATCAGTGTCCATGTCCTGCTGTGCGGTGGCCTCTGGATTCTCTGCGTTCTGTTTAGAGGTGTCTGCTCCTTGCTCTGATGCGTCAGCTGCCTGGTGCGGAGGCTCTGCTTCCTGTGACAGAAGCCAGAGCTGTGACCGCCTGGGTCCGCAGCTCGGGGCACCCGCTCTGCCCACTGCTCTGCAAGGCTCAGCCTTACCCCGCACGCCTCTCGTGGAGGGGGAGCTGCCTCTGCAGCTTTCTGCTGGCACAGGGCCTCCCACTCTTCCAAAGTAGGCATGACGGTCCAGACGTCTGGCAGGTACACCACCACGGTCTGGAGCCGCCTTGGGGGGCCCGACTGCAGGTACTGGAACTCCGCGAAGCGCCACCTGCTCACAGCGAAAGGAAAAAGGAAGTACCGACCCACAACCTTCACAAGCAGTTTCCAATCAACATTTAATGAGCACATACTACACACGCGGCTTTGAAAATAAGAAACCAAAAGAAACCAAGTCCTCAAGAAATGGTCCATCAATGGGCCAATGTGAGTAAGCAGACAGTGACTCTCCGGGGTGCTCCCAGCACCAAGGACCACTAAATGTGGCTGGGCGATCGCATGGGACGAGCCTTGGAGGGTCGGCTGGCCCTCAACACCCATACACATCCCTACTCGTGCTCATGACCAAGACGACCGTCTGCGAGGGCTGGAGGGATGAGGTGGGACCGGGGAAGAGAAGAGCACTAACAGGTCAGAAAGGCACAGGAACTTGGCCTCCTGAACAGTCTTGCCAATACAACGGGCCACACACGGACAAGCCTGGGGCAGCCACTCACCACTTCGTGCAGGCGCTCAAGTCAATGCCAGTCTGGGCTTGCGCACAGCGGATGGCAGTGCGGACTAGCACCTGCGGGTCGCCCTTGGGGTCAAGGCCATCCAGAGAGGGAGACCAGTCACCCCCAACCAGCACTGCCTCTTCTTCTTTCCGGCTCAGCAAAAACTGCAAAAATGGATCCAAGATAAAAAAC